TAGAGTGGTCTATGATCTTGCTATAATCTTTGCTCTTCAGCTATGTTATACATTCAAGATGCGACACAAAATGTCAATTTTTAGGTATTGCACTGCTCGATGCCGCAGGCGAAGTGAAAGGCATAGCTGGGGCCTGTCCCACGCTACACAACAGCAAGCTCATCAAGATCGCTCCCGTATTTGCCTCCAACCAAGAAGATGCCAGCTATCTCATCAAATGTATAACGAATATGTATCATGAGCCAGACAACAAGTTTGTGCTTCATGTTTCAACGGAAACCGCAGGAGATTGGATTTTGAAGAAGTGCCGGGATGCGAAGATCCCGCTCGCATTTGTCGGAACGGCGGCTAACGCGACATATAACGGTATCATGTACAAGGATCCCTGTAACACCGAGCGAATGTTTCTCCCAATGAATTGTCCCATATATTTCGATAGATAAATTCTGAAATTAATCATTAAAATTGTTCGCAGTCATTTTCACCGCTCAGGTTGAATCGTTACTGCACTTTATTGTATAAAAAACTTTGCAATAAATCTTGACAAACACAAAAACGAATATCTTGTTTCTCGAAGCTTTGGAAGTTGAACCCAATGATGAGCAGCGATCAGATGTTTGTATATGAACATGTTTAGAGCGATCGCACCGTGAAAGCACCAGCAGCAATAGATCTCGATTTTTTATATATAAAATTTATGGAAACATTTAGACGTCTGCGATCTCCTCTAGAGGATCGCCGTTCTGGAGTTTGTAGGCTAGCTCGAAGGCATGTCCTAGAGTGATGATGATTTCCGTTGCTACATCCTAAAACTTGCTTCTTGTGATAGACAAGCTCAAGGGAAATGACACTCACAGCTGTCAACACACAGAAAACATGGCAAAGATTCCGATCAGCGTCCTGAGATATGTAGGTGAAGCAGTTTAGATCTCTTTCATCTTGACAAACTATCTGGATATGAGAGATGTCATGATCAGCAGCTTGTCGCTAAACAAGAAAATTCATGAGTTATGATAGGAATGGCTCTGAGATGCTGTCAGCAAACATTTGGAAATACTCGATGAACACTCACCCCATTCTTTCCATCCAAGATCCGAACTCCGTGGATGGATATCTCTAGAATGACCTGTGGTACTTTGGCGATCTCCCTGATTGCTTTCTGCAATGCACAAGTGGAGAGCACAAA